CCCAAACAATCATAAATTCCTTTGGATCATTGGGGTGGATAAACAGATGGCCGGTTAGATGGGTGGGGGTGTACAGAAACAGGTGTCCAAACAGGTGTCCATTTATGGTAGGAGGAGGGGGGTTTATGAGGGGCAATAAATCAAATTTTTTGTCACATAGGACCCTATACTCTCTCTTTTGTCACTGTGGTTCCACCTTGGTCACCTGGACCCTTGTCTCCACCATGGCTCCTCCCTTGACTCCTCCGTGGGCTTGCATGACGCTGGAGATTCCACCCTGGCTTCTACCTCATCAACTAATCTCTTGATTATACCTCTGCTATCTCTGGTCCTGCCCCGCATCCACCTTCTAAGCTCCTTCCCGCCCTCCTCTGGGACTTTGATTATGATCTTTGGTATGTTTGACTTGAGATGGTGCTGCGCAGATTAATTGGTGTATGGCAAAGTACTGCAATTGCAATTTGAAAGCAATCGGACACATCATACAGCATGGATGAAAAAATATCACCTACAGCTCAACCTGGCAAAGACTGAGCTTCTTGTCTTCCCTTCCACTATGACTCTACAGCAGTGGTTCTCAAACTGGGGTACGTGAGGTGACGGAGGGGGGTACACAAACAAAATTCTGAGTTTTGGCATTCATTTAATTTTACCCCAACTTAAAGTAACATTAAAACCGAACATGTCTTTCTGACAAGCAAAATGCCGCTTCTAATGTAAAAACAGGAAAATGGGGGTGCTGTAAACGGTCAAATACATGATATCCAATCAGCTTACCTCATCTTTTGCGGTCAAAACTGACGACATCCACACAAGCAGCGTGCATGTGATGACTGCCCGCTGAATATGCTGCTTTAGCAAATCACGCTGCTTTTTAATGTATCTTTAAAGTAGATCTTCACTTAATAGCATGAAGAGCAAATATTGACACTAACTGTACATTGAGATCAATTTAAACTCTCTTCGATACAGACAACCTGTGTGAGTTATTGTTTTCATGTTTAAAATACGAGCAATAATGAGAATTTCCCTGAATAGCCAAACGATGTGACATTAATTTTTAGAACAGTTCAACAAAAAAAAGGTAATATTTAGTGAACATTTTACATTTTAAATGTAGCCTACATTTTAAACAGAATATTGTCATGTTTGTTATATTTTGCAACGAAATAAAAATAGTTCCAATGAAATCCGTATCATCCGTTGTGCGACTCCAAGCAAGTGGTGTTTAGTTAGTGAACGAATCTGCGGCTTTGAACGATTCGGAGAGTCAGTGATTAATAACCCATTCATAACTACAGCATTTTGCTTCGTTACTAAATGAATGAATGACACGACGCCTGGCTCATTAAGACAGCGACTTGCCGCTGTACCGACGAAACATGCTACCTACCAGATTATGCTACCAAAAATATATTTACATTGTTTTAAGGGTCAGTTTAGGGTAAGGGTAGGTGTGGACGTGTAGGGGAAGGTATGGACATAAAAAAAAGCCTCAAACCACATGAATAAGATGCTGGTAGCACAAGCTGATAGGTAGCATTTTTCGCTATCGATTTGTGCTACCTATCTTTTTAATGGGAGGTC